CTCAAATTCCTGAACCACAGAAAATTTACAACAATGTTTATTGTTTTGTAGTATCTTTTATGGCACTTTTTATGCAGTAATAGATAATGAACACAGCAGCTACCAGATGTTTAATCCTCAAGTTGAAAGTCAAGAGTACAAGAGGCTGAATGCAGTTCTGGAAGTACAATGTAAGGCTCTTCTCTAATCGAACCTGCTGATATGCACTGCTGAAAGTTTTTGGTCAAACCCAACATCTAGTGACAGAGAAACATATTCTCTGTAGTAGGCTAATTACCACTCAGGAAATTAATTTCTAATTTCTGGAATTTACAAAGTAAAGGAGTCTTTGCAGATATACTGAAATTAAGTATTTTGACATGGGGCATTTATCCTCAACTATTCAGGTGGGCCCTAAATGCTGTCACAGATATGCTCATAAGAGAAAGTCATAGAGAGATTTGAGACACACGGAGACAGCAATGGCAATGGAGACTGGCTCTGTGTCCTTAAGACAAGGAATACCAATGAGTGCTGATAGCTACTTGAGGACAGAAGAGTCAAATAATGGACCCTTTGTTTTGAATTGTGAAGGTTTTGGTGACTTGTTATAGCAGCCGTGGGTAGAGCATTCACACATTAGGGGGTGGAGATATTAAATATTAGCTAAATAATAATATAATCTACCTGAATATCATTTCAGAAAATAAAAAAGAACATACTATGCACTGATACTAACAAACTAAACAAAGAACGAACACATAAATTCATGAGTAGGCAAAATAAAAATGAAATTTTAGATCAAAAGATTATCTGTGAAAACAGTATAAAATTAAACATTTTATCTTTTTATTCATTGAGTTTATTGGTACATTTTAAGTATACAGTACAGTTTACATTCATTATTGGGCTCTTGTACCCAATGATGGATCTTGGTTCTCATTTTCCCCCGTACCCCTGCCCTCCCTTCACCCCCTCCACCTCCCCTATTTACAAAGACTTTGTTTCCATTCTTTCCTTTTCTGATATTTTTTCTTTTCTCCTATTTCCTTTCCCCTACTCTTCCTACTTCCTACTAAACATTTTATCTTAACACTATGAAAACAAAGTTAGAAGAGCTAAAAATAAACTATCAGAAAAGAGAAAAATTTAAAAATGAAGGTGAATTCTTTTGAGGTCAAGGGAGAAAATGAAAAATACTACATAAAATAGAAATGAGTGACCCATTAAAACAGGCCTATGTAAGGTTATAGTAGGGAAAACTGCACAAAATGAAAATATTTTTAAAAATAGGCAAAGGGCATCAAGAGATGGAAGGGGAAAGGAGAGAAGGAAAGGACAGGGATGAAACAAAAGGAATTGGGATATGATATGTACAGGTGCCAACTCTACAAGGAATGTAAACATTGTGTACTGCATATAAACACACACGCAAAAGCAGGGAATCAAGGGATGTGTGGAGGAGGGAAGTGAAAGGGGATGAAAAGGAAATTCATATGTGTTATGTACCTGTACCAACTTTGCACAAGAAATAAACAATATGTACTATACACATGTACTAATAATCTAAGTATAATATAAAAAGATGATAATATAAAAGTAAAATAGATGATCCGTTTTGTATGAGATTAGTGTTTTTAAAAAGAAAATTAAATGTGTAATAATAAAAATTTGAAAGACAGAAAACTGCAGATGTGAAAGATCAAATTCTACAAATAAAAAAAAAGCTTTACATATTAGGAATAACAGCATCATGTTTTATATTGTAAAATACTGCACCTCAGAGCCAATGGCTTTTCTTTTCTTATTTTTTACTTTCAAAATTAATTTGAAGCACTCTTCCCTTATATCAAGATTCCTGTAAGAAACTATTATTATGGGCCAGGCATTTAGCTCAGCAGTTGTGCCAACTGACTTGCAAGTGCAAGGACCCAAGTTCGATCCCCAATACCAAAAAGAAAAAGAAAAAGAAGCTATTAGTGTGACATTCATAGAGTAATTCTATTTTTTGCTAAATTAAGAGATGGGTGCCTAAGATTCTTTACTATTCCCTGATTTCTATGATTCTTATTCTGCATTGCTCTTCTGAGAGGGCTTAAATGAAAAAATTTCAGTCGCTGGTACCCATAAAGACCTATGTTAAATGTATTCCTAAACTGTACTAAAATCAAGTAGTTAAGCATAACTGACTTTTATATAAGTCAAACTTTGAAGATTATAATAATAATTTTATATGCTGCATCAAATATTTGACAAGCAGACCAACTGGTATATCATTATGTTTCTGGAGATCTGCCAAAAAAGAGTTTTGTTTTTTTGGTGTGTGTGTGTGTGTGTGCGCGTGCGTGCGCGCTTTGCAGAGACACAGAGACAGACAGGGACAAAGACTGTGTGTGTGTGTGTGTGTGTGCCCGTGCGTGCACGTGCATTTGTACTGGGGATCCAACTCATGACCTTGCACTAGCAAGGTAGGCAGCAGAAGCACTGAGCTAAATCCCCAAGCCCCAGGAGTTTTCTTAATTACCTGGAATATTGGTCTAACAAAGTTTTTCAAATATTCATGTGTTGTGCAATTTGATAAAATATTTCAAAAATTGCACTAATTTATTTCATATTTTCTCATAATATGCTTGGTGTGTTGAAAAAATTATACAGATTATTTATGTATATGTCTACCATCTTTTTGAAGGGTGGCATGATATATGGTAAGTATGGTAAAATGCTCCTATTTTACCAAAGAAAAATCTATATATGTTTTATTGTCTTTCTTGGGATTAAATGGAAATCAATAGGAAAATGACTTTTTAGGCAAATATGAATTCTGCACTACCTTTTTATGAATGTGTAAAATGGCAACTTGAAGATAGTTAAATATATCTTTTGCAGTTGGCATGTTTGCAGTATGAGTTCAATATCTGGCACTAACAAATCTACTTTCAAAAGTATACTTTTTCAAGGACATGAAGAATATAAATATACAAAGGGATACAGTGGTCACCCTTTCTACCAAATTGCCCAGGAAACTGGGACTGTGTTCTTCTGTTTCCATATCACATTTTGCAGACAACCTTGCTAAATGTTGAATGGTTAAATAAAACAGTTATGTACTTAGTCATCACTTCTTCAGGTAAAACAGACACACTGTATTTTTTAAAGACAGGATACGTCCATCCAGAGGCCATTGTCTCAGTCACTTTCCCATCACTGGGACAAATGCCTGACACCCACAATTTAGAGAAGAGGTTGATTTGGTTCACAATTTCAAAGAGTTCAGTTTATAGTTGGCTGGCTTCAAGTCACAGACAGCATAGAGGAAGGTCTCGGCCAGCAAAATATTCAACCGATGGGAACCAGAAAGCAACAGAGAAAAGAGCCAGGAACAAGAACATGCCCTTCCAGGTCACATCTCCAACCAAGTCCCAACTCCTAACACCACATTCAGCTATGAACTCGAAAGTGAATCCAATGATGAATATAGCATTCCCATAAACCAAGCACCTTCAAAAAGCCTTACCTTTGAACATGTGAGACTTTTGGGGGACATTTTAGATTTAAACCATAATACCCATTTATGCATTTCATAGTTGAGAAAAGTGATGCATAATTTCCTTAGAAATAAGTAAAGATGAGAGGGCCTTGACTAAGTACTGCTTTTGCTCTTTACTTCTTATCCACTGATGACATTCTGTCAGATAAGATTGCCTGAAGTCCCTCTAGAAGCTGTGGTTAGCATAGAATTGCTAGGCTGCTGGATAGAACTGGTCCGACACTGTGCATAAGATAATCTTAATTGTTAGCAAAGCTCTTACTGTTGTCACCTAAATTCTTGATCCAGATAATCCTGATGTTTTCATACTAGATTCCTTACAAATGAAAAAAAAAAAAGCATATTCTGGCACCAGTCCATCTTCCCATTCTACATTTATAATGCAGACATAGTCAAACCATACCCAACAAAGTGGATATTATAAATGCTGAAGAATGGATTTCAACTTTCTCTCTCATCATCAAGAGGTTTTTTTCCTTCATTGTAATGTAAATTTTGATCCTTCTGCAGAGTGGCCAATGAGTAGGTGGAATAACATCTTAATTCTATCTCAGCTTCTTGATTTCAAAATGTATAATATTTTGTCTATATAGAATATCCTCTAAAACAGGTACTTTTATTTCCTTGTAGAAGACAGAATCTCGCTGAATTCAGTATCAGTGTAATTCAGCAATTACATTATTGAATAGGCGTTCTAAATACATGAAGGGAATATATCTATATACATATATATATATATA